GGGGGGGGGGGGTTGGGGGGGGGGGGCACGGACTTGCCCCCCACCATAAAAATGTGTCCTAGAATTGGATCTTTACTAATTCTTTCCAGCGGTGTTAACCTATTTTGGCTAACGTTTCTTAGTCAAAAGTTGAAAAAACAGAGGAAGGGTCTTTTCGCCTGATGAAAAAAAATCACTACAGTTGAACTTCCCCACAACGGCCACCTTGGGACAGAAGAAAGTGGCCTTTGTGGAGAGGTTTAAACAAGAGTCAACGTATGGGATGTCTGCCAAAAAAGTGGCCGTCGTAGAGAGGTGGCCGTTGTGAGGAAGTGATCGTTAATGGCGGTTCGACTGTAATGGGTCTACACAGGTAAGGTATAAAAACGTACCCCAAGTCATGTTTTCTTCCCCTTAAAGACCTTTATCTTTGTAAGTTGATATTAGAAAACAACCAATATCCTGCAGAGCTCTGCAATGTAACAATAGCTTAACTGTATAACTAGAAGATACGAGGAATGAAAAAAGATTTTACGTTTCATTTTTCAATTCTAAACATATCTCAGTCGTTTTAGAGACCTTATCCGTGCCTGCTAGTGTGATTCGAAAAAACCTTTAAATGATAGATCATGGTTTGTGTTCTGATTTTACGTGTCACCTTTTTACCCTTACCGTGGGCAAGACAAGTCAAGGGAGTTATCTAAACACAGGCTAAAACTGCTAAATAAAACAATTTCAAACTCCTGTCTGATTTTTTAAAGACATCTTAACACACTTGCAGCTGAGTTTGTACCGCTATTAAAACAAAACACCATTTCTGTTCAAACATCATATGAAACTTAAAGTGCAATTGGTTAAAGGAAGAACATACGGGAACTTCGTATGCACAGCTGTTTAAAAACGCGTAGCAGTTACTGCTTTATAAAGAAGTGCTCTAGAATCCCAGCCATTTACACTGCTTTGGGTATTTGCGTTGATAATACCTCAAAATGCGTGCGTTCATCATCCTACTCTTGGCGGGTTTTACCCCGTTCATAAGTGCAAAGAAATATGTACGAGTGTGCTACCATACAAACTGGTCTCAGTATCGCCCTGGTCTAGGCAAGTTCTGGCCTGAGAATATTGATCCTTACCTGTGTACCCACCTGGTGTACTCTTTTGCCAAGATTAACAGGAATACCGACACATTGGCCATGTACGAGTGGAACGATGACAAATTATACCCAAGGTTCAACGCACTCAAACAGAAAAATCCCACTTTGAAAACCCTCTTGGCCGTAGGAGGTTGGAACCACGAAAATGCAAACAGTCCATTTTCCAAGATGGTCCGCACTGCAGCTTCCAGAAGGGTAATGTTTCCAAATCGCCGTATCCGACCTGAAAATGTATTCGTTGTAAAAAATAAATTCTTTGTAAAGAGTACTTTACGTAAGCTTGTAGGGTTGAAAGCTTTTAGTCTTAATAAACAACCTGTGCGTGTGATCCAGTAACTCCTTATGTCAATTTTCTCTTCCCTTTTATGCTTTATCGGTGTTTTGAGAACAACCTTTAACCCTTCAATGCCCAAAAATGGGGGAGCAATATTCGCCACGTCGCCAGTTTGATCTGTTCCTTTTTTAAAAGAAGATGATGCATTTGCCGTTTTCAAGCTTTGTGGAACTTAAGAAAGCCTTGCGCAAAACTCGGAAAGAACTCCGGGGTAATCTCTTTCTTCACAAGCATTGATTAACAAGAGCAAATTATTGTTGTTTTTTAACATTTAGGTTTTTATTGAACATGCAGTATCGTTTCTGCGAAAGTGGGGATTTGATGGCCTCGATCTGGATTGGGAGTATCCGGGTAGAAAAGACAGAGGAGGCTCCGTCCCAGAAGACAAACAGAGGTTCACATATCTTTGTGAAGAGCTGTTGGATGAATTCAAAGCTGAAGCGGCCCAAACCGGCGAGCATCGCCTTTTGCTGACAGCTGCTGTATCAGCTGGTAGGGACACCATCGAGAAAGCATACGAGATCAAGAAACTGGGTAAAGTGCTGGACATACTCAACCTGATGACCTATGACCTTCACGGCAGCTGGGACAAGGTGACAGGACACCACACAGCAATGGTCGATATTACGGGAGATGGGAAAGATTACTACGTGCCATACGCAGCCCAGTACTGGATAAAGGGAGGATTTCCACCTGAAAAAATTGCCCTTGGAATGGCGACGTATGGACGAGCGTTCGCCCTTAAAGATGCGAATAATAACGGCCTCGGCGCTCCTAAGGCCGAATGGACAAGTCCGCCTAAAGGTCAGTACACCCGTGAGCCTGGATTCCTGGCCTACTACGAGATCTGCAAAATGGGTTTGACTATTGTTACCGAAAATGCAGTGAAAGCTCCATACGGGTACAATAGCAGAGGGTGGGTAGGCTTTGATGACCAACAGAGTCTGAAATACAAGATTGCAGAGGTGATAAAAAAGAAGAATCTCATGGGAGCGATGTTTTGGGCTCTTGATTTAGACGATTTTAGTGGCAAACATTGCGGTCAAGGCACATATCCCCTAATAAACTCAGTGAAAAAGGCCCTGGAAACCAACGTACCACAACCACGTCCAACTACTCCACCTTTTACCACTTCAGCACCAGGCCCTGAAACGACCACCGGACCCGTCCCTGTCACTACGACTGAACCTGGCCCTGTAACAACAGCGGTATCATGTCCTGTAACAACCTCGGGGCCGGTACCTTCAACCCAGCGTCCAGTTTCACCAGGTCCCGGAAAAAATTGTGAGGCAATCCCACCATACAATACCGGACCGAAGATGGATGAATGGTGCAAGTTAAACTGTGCAATGGGAAATTGTCCAGCGAGTCACTGCAAGTGCACCTAGAAAGAAGCGCGGTGACTGATTGATTGATTGATTGACTCTAGTGTGTTTGGTTTTTGTTAGGCCATGAAGTAGAAATAAAATAAGCGTTGCAACAAATTATAAACACTCTTGTAGATTAATTAAGGGGTATCTTTTTACGGTTTTAATTAGTGAGTAAAAAAGAGTTTCAAAAATTATATTAATAATAACGGGAAAGGTCAAGGGTACTGAATAAAACATAAACTTACAATTGCACATAGCACTAAAACGCCAAGTATCCTCACATTTCCTTCCGAAACGGAAGTTTGTAAATCATACTCAAACGTCGCAGTTAATTTATGCTTAACGACTCACATCTTTAGGGGTGAAAATCTTGGGATCAAGGAACGGTTTAATAAAAAAGGTCCATCACAATCTCTTTTACGTTAAGACGACTCGATGGGGTATTTTTCAGGGTCAATACCTCCCACCTTTGAGCAGAAACTACGTCACCATTAACAAAGGTTTGCAAAGGTTACCACCACAGCTGTATTATAGATGAAGATGAAATTTGTTATGGTCAGTGTTACAATGACATCAGACTTGTTATAGCAACGAAATGACGACGGAGTTTTTTCTTCCAATAGTCCCCTCTATGCTTGTGAAGTTTAAGCGAAGAAAGCGTTATCGAGATACTTTGGGATGAAGTGTTTATGGAAGGAATACGGTAAAAAACGGACATCTTGATGTTCGGCCGTTATACTGACGGAAACGAAGCGCTTTTGAAATGCGGTCTTACCTCATTATAGTAGTCTCAATCTTTTTAAAAAAGTGTATGAAAGATTATGGGTATAGCTTTGGCCGATTGCAAGAAAGAAGGATTTGATTAGTTTATATTAAGGCGCTCTTGCTAGCGGTTTTGTAAACATTTTGGTCTACTTACACAAATAACTGAATAATTTTCAAACCGCTCGACATATTTCTTGCACTTGCACTGTCACTTTTCTTTACGATTTTTTTAATTCTAGCGTCCGTCCTTCTGCTGTCGAAAGGTAAAACTCAAAAAGAATTTGTTCGATTGAAATAGTAGTTTGAAGGATGTTTTGTAAGCAGTAAAGTGTCGGATAATTTTTTCGTTCTAAAATAGCTTTGATGCCTTGCATTTTTGCATGATCATCCAACTTTTTAAAGTCCTATTTCCAAATTGTTGTGTAATCGCAAACGAAAATGGCACAATCCCGATACGGTTCTGGGCAAACTTTGAAGTGACACTGCGTGACAGAGCCACTGGCAACCACAATTGCCGACAAGATTGAAAATACTACACAAAAACACGATCCTTAAAAAGTTCAACGTTTTAAAGAACACCTTTTGTTATTTTCCTGGAAAAATAATCGATTGTTCAAACCCATGAGAACAAATAAGTCAATTAGGGAGGAACTGAAAGTGGAAAATCAATGGTTAAAGATCTTTATAAGGAAAAAAAAGCTGAAGTATTTTGGCCAGTTGAAAAGAAGTGAGGGCTTGGGAAAGATCATCTTGGAGGGAAAAATAGATGGGAAACGAGGAAGAGGAAGACCGAGAAGGCAATGGGAAAAGGACATACGGAATGTTTTCGACAACAGAGGTCTATGGGGATAAGCAGTTTACGTAGTAGCTCCGAAGGGGAGTGGGGCTGAGGAATACAAATATTTGGAGCAAACCATGTGAACTGTCAAATCCCCTGTTAATCGTAGATCATATATACCCCTGGGTAACGTAAGAAGCCTGAGTGAATGCGGATTAGCAGAATTTAATCACTGATATTTTATTCTACATCTCTGTCCCAATACCTTATACATTACATTATTGCACCTTAATCAGTAAAGCATTTTTGCTTTGTCTTAATCACATTTGCAGTGACTCGCAGGGCAATTTCCAATTGCACAATTTGAGCTGCACCATTCATTCATGCCTGGTTGCTGATCGTATGGTGGTATAGCTACGCATCTCCCTGTGGGCGTGTTAGTTGGTGGTACCGGAGGTAACGTCGTTACAGGGCTGGGTTCAGTGGTTGTAGCACCAGGTGAAGGAGTCTGCACCGTTGGCCGAGGTGGTGGGGTGTAGCCCCCCAAGTACTTTTTCACGGCGTTTATCAACGGATATTGACCTTGACCACATTGCTTGCCACTGAAATCATCTAAATCCAGGGCCCAGAACATTGCACCCATAAGACCCTTTTTCTTGATAACCTCGGTTGTCTTGTTTTTCAGGCTATCCTTATCGTCAAAGCCTACCCAGATGGTACCGTTGTGGCCGTATGGAGCATCGACTCTATTTACTGTGACAACATTCAAGCCAAGCTTGCAGATCTCGTAGTAGGCCAGGAATCCTGCTTCACGGGTGTACTGTCCCTTGTGAGGCTTCTGCCAATCGTGCTTTGGGGCACCGAGACCACTGTTGCTGGGGTCTTTCAGGGCGAACGCTCGTCCATACGTAGCCATACCGAGAGCGATCTTATTTGCAGGAAAACCTTTGTCAATCCAGTACTGGGCTGCGTAAGGCACTGTCAGCTTGTCATCTCCTACCATGGCTGTATGATGGCCGGTCACTTTGTCCCAGTTACCGTGAAGGTCATAGGTCATCAAATTGAGAATGTCAAGCAATGGACCTAATTTTGCGACCTCGTAGGCTTTGTCGATTGTAGCATAACCAGCTGCCACAGCAGCTGTTAGCAAAAGACGTGGCCTTCCAGTTTGCACCGCCTCCGCTTTGAAGGCATCCAACAACTCCTGGCAGAGAACAGTGAATTTTTGTTTGTCTCCTGGTGGAGAGCCGCCTCGAACAGCAGGATATTCCCAATCCAGATCGAGACCATCGAAACCCCAGGTTCGCAGCATCTCAATTGAAGAGTCAATAAATACCTTGCGTGAAAAGAATGGTGTTTACATTAATTAACAAAATATATAGCAAAAAGAAAGATGGACGGACACAAAACAGTCTAACAACTGCTCAAGTATAAGCTGTTAGCAAGATTTAAGAAACCGCGCTAGCGGCAGTAGGATTCCATGCCGCATAGAGCTATTGAGAGATGTTTTCTTTATCTAACTACATGTACTTGACATGTTAGAGATTTTTCTGGCTATTTTTCTTCACATGAGAAATATCGGTAGTAATCTAAGTTGCCCTCATCGCCTTTTCCTGAAATTTATGAAATCAAGTTTGATGTTTTAGATTAAAATTAAACGGTAGGCTCTGTTATTTTAATGACATCACTGCGGCTAATTTCATAATCCCTAAGGAATCGGCAAGTTTAAATGAAACAGTAGGGTTAAAATAGAAAATCAACGCTTTTTAGGGTCTTTCAGGGCTGAAATATTAATATCGCAGTAAATTTTTTCCCTTCAAAAGACACTGACTGTTCTGATAGATCAGCTATAAAGGTAGCCTTTAAAATTACCTTTCTAGAAGCTGCAGTTTTGACCATCTTCGAGAATGTGCTGNATGAAAAATCATAAAATTTGTTTTAGTCAGATTTAGAGATAACTTATTCACTTTAAGCCAAATAATTATTTTTGCAAGTTCATCGTTAACAATAGAAACGAGGTGATTGGCATCTTTATGGGAACAAAAGATACTTGTGTCATCAGCAAACAGTAAAGATTGAGTGAGACTAGAGACATTAGGAAGATCATTAATGTAAATAATAAACAAAAGAGGTCCAAGAATTGAGCCCTGCGGGACGCCACATAAAATCTTCCGCGGAGAAGATCGATGGGACCCAAACTGGACAAATTGAGTTGGGGCTGAAATACGAATATCGCAGTAAATTTTTCCCTCAAAAGACACTGACAGTTCTCATAGTTCAGGTATAAAGGTAGCCTTAGAAGCTGCAGTTTTGACCATCTTGGAGAATGGGCTGTTATGATTCTCGTGGTTCCAACCACCTACGGCCAGAAGGGTTCTCAAACCTGGGTTTTTCTTCTTTAGTGCGTTAAACCTTGGGTATAGTTTGTCATCGTTCCACTCGTACATAGCCAGTTTGTCGTTGTTACGGTTAATCTTGGCAAAAGAGTACACCAAATGTGTGCAAAGATCGGGGTCGATATTCTCAGGCCAGAACTTACCTGCACCTGGGCGATACTGAGACCAGTTGGTGTGGTAACAGACGCGTACATAGTTCTTTGCATTGATTTGCCAGGCGAACCCCGTTAACAGCAAGACGATGAAAGTATGCATCTTCGACTCTGAAAACAAATGTCCAAGGGGACAGCGTAGAGATTGGTTTCAAGCCCTCTTTTTAAGTCCTGTTCTTTTCACATGTTTACCCAACTGTGTTTTCGAAATGCCTTTCCAATCTGGCTTAAGTCAACTGCTGTTGTCCTTGAAAGGCTTTTTCGTAGAATATGTCTAGTGTCTTAACAGTTGTGTATTATCAGTCGACAAATATTTTATGACCTGGGCTAAATTTTGGATAGTAGTATCACCCTGTTTTTGCGACAATGGCATGGTTTATTCAACCTGTGTTAAGGTATCTCGATTTCGTCTTGGCACTTCTGGATGCATCTTATACTTCTGTTTTATCAAAACATTACGTACAGTACATCTTATTCGCCGAAAATTAGAAAATGTTTTTAAAAACAACCTTTGTACTATTTAGTTATCATGGAATGAAAAAGCTCACGAAATTCAGTAATCGGAACTGTTTAGAACACTATTTTTCGCAGGGAAAAAGTAAACAAACAACGAATGGAAAGTAAACTCGGATCGCAGAGAATGTGGGAATGAAGCCGAGGGTAAAGGGAGGGGCTCTCACCCGAACGCTTAAGGGTGACATACTGTGGGACCCTATGACATGCTTTTGATATATAAATTTAAGTGCTTTTTAATGGCTGCAAACGCATCTAAAACAATCCTTTGCTGTAATAAAAGTTTTGCACCAACTTTTACAATATTATACTGTCACTAGAGTTTGCGAAAGTCGGAAAAGACTCCTTGAATTGGAAAGTGTTAGAGATAAAATTTACCACTGTGTTCATGGTGCTAAATAGATTCCGACTTAATTGATTAGTTGCAAAGCCTCTATGTTGCAGCTCGAGCGCTAGAGTTTTACCTATTAATGGCTCAACCCTACAACTGATAAGCCTGTTCAGTTATCTAAAAGATGTTTTATGAACATTTTGTCACTCTTTATATATACACACTGTTTACAGGTAGCCAAAACGAGACCTATATACACACAGTTTACAGGTAGCCAAAACAAGACCTGAAGGACGATCATCAGGTTACCCCTATATTAAGATAACCCACCCAACCAAGAAAAGGATGGCTACACCACCGGGGTCTACGTCCGCCTTTGCCAAAACATGTCGGTAGGTTCGATTCCTTATTGAAATTTTCGTCGTAAGCTGAAAAGATTGAACGTTTCAAGTATTTACGACAATAAGCAACGATAGTAGAAGACAGCAAGAAGAGTAGTTAAACAATTGATAAAGATCTTTATCTCCGTGCCTAAAAAGACCATTCATACCATGAAACAGTGATTTAAAAGGAGCTAATTCAAATATGGACACGATAAACAGAAGATTTTATCGCCATTATGCAGAGTAAACTGTTAAAAATTTTACAAAGAGGTAAGCATGTGTGATCGATAATTATAGACTTTAAGTTAATTTCCGCGGTCTTTGCAACCGCACAGAACTCTCCAAGCTGCCAAGAAACCTTGGTTCCAAAAGGAAAACGAATTGAAAAGCGGCCGTGGTTAAAGGACCGTACATTCAGAGAATATGTGTAGATCGACAGCACATGACAGGTTTTTACTTAGAGGGGGTTCTTGCACAGTATAAGTGTATGTCCTCAGCCTTCTCAGCTTTATTTGAGCAGATACACTGAACACACTTGTCAACGTATTGTCAACGCACCGTCCTACAATTCTGGTGAGAACAGGAATTCTAAACACAACTGTCTCAGAGTGCAAACTGTATCTTAATAGCTGGTTAAAAAGTAAATAGTAAAGCTGTCCCCTTCTTTTCTTTAAAGAGTTCGTCTCCTTTCGAAGCATTAAAGTGTTGCAGCTTAGTGTTTTAAATAAAGACTCAAAAACCTTCTGTATTCCGGCTATATTTGTCCTTAAGAAGACTCTTAGAAGATTGCTTTAATCCAGCAACCTTTACAGCACTGTACTGGTTTCGCATATACTGTCTTGAAAACATATACTAGGAAATCAAAACTTGACCAGCACTAAAGAGATTACTATAGGTCGGCGTATTGATATGATGTAAAATAATGTCAATGGAATAGCCCTTCCAAGTATTTTTCTGTAAAATATTTAATTTGGACTAAATAGGAAAAAAAACCATCCAAACTGTTTGAAAGAGGGGACTAAATTAAGTGCTTAAGGTTACCTAGTTTGAGAGTAGTGTTGTGCTAAAAACAACCGAAAAATAAATTCAGTTTACAAATTTACAGATGTGTGTGCGGTGGCTGGGAGGGTGCAAATTTGTTGCTCCCATCGTGGAAACGCCAAAGGATNCCAAGTATTTTTCTGTAAAATATTTAATTTGGACTAAATAGGAAAAAAAACCATCCAAACTGTTTGAAAGAGGGGACTAAATTAAGTGCTTAAGGTTACCTAGTTTGAGAGTAGTGTTGTGCTAAAAACAACCGAAAAATAAATTCAGTTTACAAATTTACAGATGTGTGTGCGGTGGCTGGGAGGGTGCAAATTTGTTGCTCCCATCGTGGAAACGCCAAAGGATATGCAACGTTGTGGGTCTATGTTTTGTTTTTTTTCGATATATCAATTTCAAACTCTATCTAGCAGGAGAAGAGGACTCTTTTGAGGCAAAAATGATTCAGGGTCAACGATGAACAAGTCTTTTGCCTCCCCATCATGATCTGGGGAGACAGAGTCAGACTTGGGTTAACTTGCTATCAAAAATGATAACCTGGGCAAACTGTTTCTTCTTCCCCATATTTTATTGATATAGGGATGAAAATATTCTTGAGTATTATTTTGATAAACATCAGTATTTCATGGAATTCTTAGATCAATTCTATCATCGCATGAAGATGCTTCAAAGCCAACATGCTTTTCTAAAATGAAAGAGGGTCACGAAGGTTTGGAATTTCTAAGTGGTAGACTCCGCCAAATAGACAGGGAACCACGGCAAAGACCTTTAAACGTTAAGTAAACAGTCATGCAACATCAAGTTTCATAAATTACCTACAAAAAAATCCCTAGGCTGTATTACCTGCTTAACATCATACTTAGCCCTTCTTATAAAACTAAGTTGTGAAAACTTTAATATAATATAATTAATAGTGACTTTGAAAAATATCACTAGAATGCACAATCAAAAATAGAACACAAATAAACAAAAGACTTTAGTCTTTTTTCCCAGCAAAGAAATCTTGAACTTAAATGTTTTAATTTTCAATCTCATTAATACTTCATGAAGGAAACAAAGAGGAAAGAAGAATGGAATTTCAAATTCTAATGAACATATTAAGATTTTGCAATTTTTAATTTCATTTTCTTCAAAGATTATTGTTCATTTGACAAATGTATCGAACACCCAACAAAGTGTTTAATCCCATACCCAAAGACTTCAAGGTGGTTTGTGACAAACTCAAGGATTCATCTTTTGTTCAACCCACTTAGGTTTGGTGTCATGAGATGAAACACTGCATTGGTTGTTCTACAAGTTTAGTTACATCAAAAGAAGACATACCTTGAAAACCATGATAGTGATATGTTTCTTACATGCAGCTGTCAACTCACTCCATATAAGTCAAATTCACATGTGAAGTGTTTGCCTTCTTAGCATATAACCATTATTCTTTGTTAAAGCTATAAGAATATGATATATAGGTAGATCAATTTAAAGTAGAATTAGCTATGTCTGAGACATCAAAACAGAATTAGCTATGTGGCCTCTGGATACTCTTTGAGAATTCGAAGTTCTTATTAAAATTGGCAAGGGATTCAACAAAAAAAAACATTAAAAAAAATGAAACATGATCAAGATTTAAGGAAAGGCCAAAAATTGAGAGAGTCGATGGACTAATAGACATGTTATATGCCTTCACTTTTCAACCAGAACTTTGTATAGGACCAGATAGGATCAACCACCCACATTCACTAATTGGCAAAAGGCAGTGATAGTGTTTCAGAGGGTTGATCCGATCTGGTCTGATCGATCCAGGTTTTCTGAACAGCTGGCAAATCGTCAATTTAAATAACGATAATAATTACTCAATATTTAGAATCTATAGTGGAAAAATTGGAGTAGACTTAGTATTAATTTATGCAAAATTCACAACAACTTTACGGGAACAATATAAATTTTGAATACCCTTAGCATCTTTATGACAGACTTGACATGGAGAGTTCCTGTAAAAGAAGGACAGGCCCTGTTTACAGTGTGATAGGGGACCCCAGGATGGTGAGGTTTATACCCGCGTGTCCACATAATCTCTCATGTTTTTAATACATCAAACACAGACACAAAAGCTGCACGCACCATTCTTGAGTTCTTTTTCTATTCTCTCCGGCAAAATCCTTTTGTATAAGCTAATCCACCACTGTTTTCATTGTTTCAATTTGCAGCAAGAGCATTACCCGCCAAAACAAGTCGTTCGCCCGCCATCTTGTCTGTTTACGTGCTTAGCCACCAGGCAATAATCTGGGTGTCGTAAGGCAAGTACGTTCATGGTAGTCTCCATATAGACTCCCTAGTATGTTATCTCTTAGAAGTAAACTAAGCCACAGACTCTCATATATCCTGTATACCCATGAATTACTTACCCGCGTGTTTGACGTGTTTATCATAGCAAAGTTAATTTTTACGTAGTACGACTAACTTTGGAGATTTATGTTTACTTGGGATATATTTTTGTTGATCAGATTTTCTGTAAATCTACGCCTTGCGGCATATTCATTTGCGGTCTTCGTTACGTTGCTGTTGTGTTACCCCCATCTAAGCGGATTCGGGATACCTCGCCTACCGAAGTCTCCCAACTTCATGTAAATAGGTCCTTCAGTAAGATTTCTCGACCCCCGTACGCTGCTCAACAGCCCCTTTTTTGTTTCTGATGTTTAAAAAATTACACCTTGTTTGCACTTCAAATATGTTGCAAAAGCTCACAGGTATTCAGAAGCCATATTGTAATCATATTGTTTAATTCGAAACACGAGTCCTGTCTTCTCACGTACAAGGAACCTTAATGTTATTCCA